CGTTCCGCTTAAGCTGCTCCTTGCACCCGCACTGCATCTGCAGCGTGACTGGGGAGGGAACAGCAGAGGGGAGAGCGCTCACGAGGTCAGTTGAACACGTCGGAGGCTTTCGCGACCAGTATTATTCACAATCAACGTTGTTGGGTTTAGATGGCGTTGTTTATACTGGTAGGAACGAAGTGGACCAGCCTACAATAGATTATATCGTCCGTCCGTCCGTCCGTCTGACCGTGTAGCAACATCGCCCCCTACTGCAAACACTTGGCAGGACCCGACAAAAACCTTTAGACTCAGTGAGGCTTTCCTGGCTAAACAAGTGTAACATTCCCTTATAATTCCCTGAGATAGTTTTAATTAAAACATTTAAATAAAAATTAACTCACAGCGGCGTAAAGCCTACAGCTAGGCCTAAAGCCTAGAACTAGGCCTCAAACTCTCCCTTCGTATCGTCCGATTAGGTGCAGCAACATCGCCCCCTACTGCAAACACTTGGCAGGACCCTACAAAACCTTTAAGACTCAGTGAGGCTTTCCTGGCTAAACAATGTAACAATACATTATGTTTATATTCTTTGGTTACTCGTTCCTAACAGCCCACCACGCAGGGTCCTGTTAAATGTGTCGTGACCCTCCACCACCCGACACGGCCAATCGGTTAAAAAAGTGTCACGTTGACAAAAGACAAAATAGTTCGCTGCTTTAGCCCCCACGCCGGTGTGTTGTTGAAGCGTGAAGCCACAACTTTTACAATTGTTGAGTAGCACTACGACATTTTGCTGGTAATTGCGTCCAGCATCGTCGGGCAATTCGCCAGAACGGTGAGGGGCTCTGCTGTGTCGCTATTGCGCTATTGCGCGACCGCCGTTGACGTCGAAGATGAACAACATCTCCGCGCACTTCTCCCCGACGTTGTGAAATGCATCATGTAATTGCGTGGTGTACGGTACAGTGTAGTAGTGCCTTGTCTAAAGGTGTCAGCTGTTGCACCAGTTGCAAGAGTAAAAACCTACCACTATATTTTGCCACTAGCTAAAGGAAATGTCTCATAGTGTAATGATGCCTTGTATAAAGGTGTCAGTTGTTGTACCAGTTGAAAGGGTAAAAACACATCACTACATTTTGCCACTAGCTAAAGTAGATGTCTCATTGTGAATAGTTTTAGTCTATTTTCGGGGTGGGTGGGGTGGTGGTGTGGGTGGGTGGTGGGGTGGGGTGGCGGGTGGGGTGGCGGGTGGGTGGTGGGGTGGCGGGTGGTGGCGGGTGGGGTGGCGGGTGGGGTGGCGGGTGGGGTGGCGGGTGGGGTGGCGGGTGGGTGGCGGGTGGGGTGGCGGGTGGGGTGGCGGGTGGGGTGGCGGGTGGTGGCGGGGGGGTGGCGGGTGGGGTGGCGGGTGGGGTGGCGGGTGGGGTGGCGGGTGGGGTGGCGGGTGGGGTGGCGTGGTGGGTGGGGTGGTGGGGCACCTTGCGAGATGTCGTATCCCGTGTCGCAGCACGCGGCGTTGATGTCGGAGCATCGCTCGTTTGCCTCGGAGGTGTCGTTGCAGCGCCGCCTCGCCGGAGCTCCGCCGGGAGCGCCGCGGACGCAGTACTCCCTGGCCTCCACGTGCACCAGCTCGCTCGCTCCGGGCGCCGGCAGCCACTCGTTCACCGGCTGCAGGCGCCAGCGCGCGACGTCGCTGCTGCTGCTGTTGCTCCTCACCAGCCGCATGGCGGAACTTACGTTGTACTTTTCCTGCAGAGATCGTTGACATCGTCGTCGTCGTCATCATCGTCGTCATCATCGTCATCATCGTCGTCGTCGTCATTGTCATCATCGTCGTCATCGTCGTCATCATCGTCATCATCGTCGTCGTCGTCATCATCGTCATCGTCGTCATCATCATCATCGTCGTCATCGTCGTCGTCATCGTCGTCGTTATCGTCGTCGTTATCGTCGTCGTTATCGTCGTCGTTATCATCGTCATCATCATCGTCATCATCATCATCGTCATCGTCGTCGTCATCATCGTCGTCGTCATCGTCATCGTCGTCATCATCGTCATCATCGTCGTCGTCATCATCATCGTCATCATCGTCGTCGTTATCGTCGTCGTTATCATCGTCATCATCATCGTCATCATCATCATCGTCATCATCGTCATCGTCGTCATCATCATCATCATCGTCATCATCATCATCATCGTCGTCGTCGTCGTCGTCATCATCGTCATCATCGTCATCGTCGTCATCATCGTCGTCATCATCATCGTCATCATCGTCGTCGTCATCATCATCATCGTCATCATCATCATCGTCATCATCATCATCGTCATCGTCGTCATCATCATCGTCATCATCATCATCGTCGTCGTCGTCATCATCGTCATCATCGTCGTCGTCATCATCGTCATCGTCGTCATCATCGTCGTCATCATCGTCGTCATCGTCGTCGTTATCGTCGTCGTTATCATCGTCATCATCATCGTCATCATCATCGTCATCATCGTCATCGTCGTCATCATCGTCGTCATCATCATCGTCGTCATCATCATCATCATCATCATCGTCGTCATCATCGTCATCATCGTCATCATCATCGTCATCGTCATCATTGTCATCATCATCATCGTCGTCATCGTCATCATCATCATCGTCATCATCGTCATCATCATCGTCATCATCGTCATCATCATCGTCATCATCATCATCATCGTCATCATCATCGTCATCATCGTCATCATCATCGTCATCATCATCATCATCGTCATCAGTGGTGGTGGTCGAGTGAATGCGGTGGAATGCTGTTAGGGACCCCCCTTCCCCCCCCCCCCGTTTGTAACCCTGCTGTGGATTTACACCTTGAGACGTCTCCTTTAGCAGTGGCAAAATAGTAGTAGGTTTTTATTTTTTATGTTTTTTTATGTTTCGATTTAAAGCTTCTTTCGTGACTGCTGCAGGGATTCATCTTCTTGGTTCTTTCGGTAAAGTCACCACGTAGAAGGGAAGTAATAGAATAATAAAATAAACATAATACCCTTTAAACTGGTACAACAACTGACACCTTTACACAAGGCATCACGTTTGCCTTGTATAAAGGTGTCAGTTTTGTACCAGTTTCAAGGTTAAAAACCTAATTCTAGATTTGAAGCTTTCGTGACTGCAAGGATTCATATTCTTAGGTTTTTTCGGTAAAGTCACCGTGTAGGTAAAACATTAAAATTAATAAAAGTAAAAAACGACGTTTCGGAGGCAACACAACCTTCCGTCTTCAGGTGGAACCGTCACAGCCACGACAGCCGTATCAAGTAAAGACCTACTACTATACTCCTGTGGATGAATCCCCGTCGCTCACCCACCCACCCACTCACCCACTCACCCACCCACCCACTCACCCACTCATTCACTCACCCACACTCACCCACTCACCCACTCACTCACCCACACTCACCCCTCACTCACTCACTCCCCACCCACTCACTCACCCACCCACTCACTCACTCACTCCACCCACCCCTCACCCACTCACTCACCCACTCACTCCCCCCCCACTCACCCCACCACTCACCCACTCACTCACTCACCCACCACTCACTCACTCACCCACTCACTCACTCACCCACCCACTCACTCATTCACTCACCCACCCACCCACCCACTCACTCACTCACCCACCCACTCACTCACTCACTCACCCACCCACCCACTCACTCACCCACTCACACACCCACCCACCCACTCACCCACCCACCCACTCACTCACTCACTCACCCCTCACCCACTCACTCACACACTCACCCACCCACCCACTCACCCACTCACTCACCCACTCACACACTCACCCACTCACACACTCACCCACCCACCCACCCACTCACTCACCCACTCACCCACCCACCCACCCACTCACTCACTCACCCACCCACTCACTTACTCACTCACCACCACTCACTCACCCACCCACTCACTCACTCACTCACCCACTCACTCACTCACCCACTCACTCACTCACCACCCACTCACCCCCCACCCACCCACTCACCCACCCACCCACCCACTCCCCACTCACTCACCCACTCACTCACTCACTCACCCACCCACTCACTCACTCACTCACTCACCCACCCCCCACTCACTCACCCACTCACACACTCACCCACCCACTCACTCACCCACCCACTCACTCACCCACTCACTCACCCACTCACACACTCACCCACTCACTCACCCACTCACTCACTCACTCACCCACCCACCCACCCACCCCCACTCACTCACCCACTCACTCACCCACTCACTCACTCACCCACTCACTCACACTCACCCACTCACCCACTCACTCACTCACTCACCCACCCACTCACTCACCCACCCACCCACCCACTCACTCACCCACTCACACACTCACCCACCCACTCACTCACCCACCCACTCACTCACCCACTCACTCACCCACCCACCCCTCACCCACTCACCCACTCACTCACCCACCCACTCACTCACCCACCCACCCACTCACCCACCCACTCACTCACCCACCCACCCCCCACCCACTCACTCACCCACTCACCCACCCACCCACCCACTCACTCACCCACCCACTCACCCACCCACCCACCCACTCACCCACCCACCCACCCTCACCCACTCACCCACTCACTCACCCACTCACTCACTCACCCACCCACTCACTCACCCACCCACCCACCCACTCACTCACCCACTCACACACTCACCCACCCACTCACTCACCCACCCCACTCACTCACCCACTCACCCACTCACCACACACTCACCCACCCACCCACCCCACTCACTCACCCACTCACTCACTCACTCACCCACTCACTCACTCACTCACCCACTCACTCACTCACTCACCCACTCACCCACCCACCCACGCTTCGTGTCTCATCCCCGGCAGCCGTGCGCTCACCTTCAGAAAGTCGCCGACGCTGCGAAAGTCTTGGAGCCGCGGCAAGCAGACGCCGACACATTCGCCGGTTCTCTCGGCGCAACCGCATTTGAAGTACGACAGGTCTTCCACCGCCTGTAGCACCACCACCACCACCGTCACCACCGTCATTGTCACCACCACCAACACCACCACCACCACCGTCATTGTTACCACCACAATCATTGTCACCACCAACACCACCACCACCACCGTCACCACCGTCATTGTTACCACCACAATCATTGTCACCACCACCACCACACAACACCACCACCGTCACCACCTTCATTGTTACCACCACAATCATTGTCACCACCACCACCACCGTCACCGTCATTGTTACCCCCACAATCATTGTCACCACCACCACCGTCACCACCACCGTCACCGTCATTGTTACCACCACAATCACTGTCACCACCACCACCGTCACCACCGTCACCATCATTGTTACCACCACAATCATTGTCACCACCAACACCACCACCACCACCACCGTCATTGTTACCCCCCAATCATTGTCACCACCACCACCACCGTCACCACCACCACCACCACCGTCATTGTTACCACCACAATCATTGTCACCACCACCACCACCAACGCCACCACCACCACCACCACCACCACCGTCACCACCACCACCACCACCGTCATTGTTACCACCACAATCATTGTCACCACCAACACCACCACTGTCACCGTCATTGTTACCACCACAATCATTGTCACCACCAACACCACCACCACCACCGTCACCACCGTCATTGTTACCACCACAATCATTGTCACCACCAACCCACCGTCACCGTCATTGTTACCACCACAATCATTGTCACCACCAACACCACCACCACCGTCACCGTCATTGTTACCACCACAATCATTGTCACCACGAACACCACCACCGCCACCACCGTCACCACCGTCACCACCGTCATTGTTACCACCACAATCATTGTCACCACCACCAACACCACCACCACCACCGTCACCACCGTCATTGTTACCACCACAATCATTGTCACCACCACCACCACCGTCATTGTTACCACCACAATCATTGTCACCACCACCAACACCACCACCACCACCACCACCGTCACCGTCATTGTTACCACCACAATCATTGTCACCACCACCACCGTCACCGTCATTGTTACCACCACAATCATTGTCACCACCAACACCATCGTCATGTCACTGCCAATCGCCATTCGCCAATAAGTGGCGGTGATGTCACCACGACGGAGCTTGTGCCAGGCTGTGTGCACGTGAAGCGTCGGCAGAAGGTCACGGGGCAGACCCAGCAGGTGCCACGGGTCGACTGACCGAGATGACCGAGATGACTGGCTGATGCACCACCTGTGCCCCCTACTGTGCCAACTTGCTGTGCTTTAGCCACCCGGCGCTCCGCTCGTTGTTGTGAGCGTCGCTCCTCCGCCCTCCGTTGTTGTTGGAGGGCGACTGCCTCCGACTGCCCAGTAGCGTCCTTCACGAGCCTCCTCCACAGAGGCCGATCTTGACACCGCTGGTACCGGTCATCGGCAAGTCCACTCAGCTCCACGTCCTCCTGTACCACATCACTTCATGTCTTCTCTAGCCCGTGCCGCGCCCTTTAAGCACCCCCGATCCGTTCGAACCTCCTTTGCCAGTAGCAAAATATAATTGTTTTTTTACCATTTTATCTGGCAACTGGCAAATGAGGTTGCAATGGTGTAAATGCTTACCCCGAGCTCTGATACTCTGATGGTGCATTGTCTTTGAGTTGTGCGCCTTTTGGCGTCGTCTGGTCCAACACCATGTGAGACTAGGCTCTAAGAAAAGCTGTCTTGGGTGTGGACACAAATCAATGTCAAGGACAGTGCATACATTATCAGAGTTGTGGTTTTTGTTTGCATTCCGACCGCAGGTATTGTGGTCCATGCAAACATGACTCCTTGTAAAAAAGGTGTCAGTTTTGTTTCCAGATAAAAGGGTAAAATAAATCAATTATCACCCTCTATCCGGCCAAACCAAAGCGGTTATAGGCATGCAGTGGCTGGGCATGTGGGCTACATGGCCCAGCCAACGCAGCCTTGCCTGCCGGAGGAGCTCAATGGGACTTTGTCAAGATCTTTCAAGGATTTGTGAGCTCCTCACACAATCCAGCCTGTTGGTTAAACTCAGAATGGATTGGAGGCAGGCCAGCCTGAAATATTTCTAAGCAGATAGGGGGGTGGGGGGGGGTCCATGTTTTGCAAGCGTAGAGGGCATGACCATGGCCAAGAAGACCCGAAGCTTTGTGTGGAGCAACAGACCAGGTAGCTTCCGCAAAGCATGGTGCAGTCGATGCAAAGATAATGCCACTCGATTGATTGAGAACTCTTCTGCCACAGAGCTGTCATAGGCACACTGCCCAGCTACGGGAAACTCTCCACAACTGCCCCATCACCAATTGAGAGTTGTGGAGTGTCCGATGGTACAAAATACCCAGGCGGGTGCTTAGTTTTGGTGGGGCTGTAAGGGGGAGGCAAGGCCCCACCCTCTCAGTGGCACGCTCCAGTTTCAGCCAGCAGCATAAACGTGGTTGAGCAATACGGAGCCATCCCTTGACCGCAACCCGGGCAGGTGGCAAGATGCAGCAGCAGAACTGTTGAACAATACAACCCCTAAATTTCGATTTAAAGCTTCTTTCGTGACTGCAGGGATTCATCTTCTTGGTTATTTCGGTAAAGTCGTCACGTAGAAGGGAAGTAATAAAATAATACAAATAAAACACAATAAAATAATTCTCACGACGTTTCGGCCACAACGCAAGCAGCCGTCCTCAGGTGGAGAACAGATCTGTCGGTAAAGTTACGAAGAATGGAAGTAATAAAATAATACAAATAAAACACAATAAAATAATTCTCACGACGTTTCGGCCACAACGCAAGCAGCCGTCCTCAGGTGGAGAACAGGTCTGTCGGTAAAGTTACGAAGAATGGAAGTAATAAAATAATACAAATAAAACACAATAAAATAATTCTCACGACGTTTCGGCCACAACGCAAGCAGCCGTCCTCAGGTGAAACCGGGTCCGTCGAGGCGACAGCGTCTGAAATACAACCCCTAGACAACCAAGCCCAACTATATACATGTGCAGCATTTCACAAAGGGGGTGATGTAATGAGAGCCTACGTCGGATTCACGTGGCGATCGGCTTTGCCGGTCCCGCTCTACAGCCAATGGGGGGAGAGCCTGGGAGCATGGCCCCGGCGTGATCACGGGATGTCAGCCAGGTGATTGGTTCTGCTGGTCTTGGCCTCAGCCAATGGGAAGACAAGTCGGGGCCTGGTCCCGGGAGTTGATGGGGGGGATCTGGAACATTCGGCGCAGGCTGTTGAGGATTGGCTGGAGGGTACCACGTGACCCAGGCGTTAAATAAGGAGAGAGAGGAGAGACACGGGGTCAGACACGGAACTAAGAGAGGGAGAGAGAGGGGCCACGCGCGAGTGGGGCTCCGGGTGCCACGTGGCGGTGGGTCTCTGGTGTCTGTCTGCCCGCTTCCCGTTGCCTGCCAGCAACGGGGAGTGTTTGTGAGCTGCAAGAAGTGAAATAAAAGGACCGATTCCACAAGCCGTCTCCAGCGTGTTATTACAAAACGATACTTTTTCCCGTAACAGGACCCTGCGGGGTGGGCTGGTAGGAACGAGTAACCAAAGAATATAAACATAATGTATTATTACACTTGTTTAGCCAGGAAAGCCTCACTGAGTGTAAAGGTTTTTGTAGGGTCCTGCCAAGTGTTTGCAGTAGGGGGCGATGTTGCTACACCTAATCGGACGATACGAAGGGAGAGTTTGAGGCCTACTTCTAGGCTTTAGGCCTAGCTGTAGGCTTTAGGCCGCTGTGAGTTAATTTTAAATTTAAATGTTTTAATTGTTAATGTAAAAGCTTTAAATGTAAATGTTTCTATTTAAAAACATCAGGGAATGTAACATTGTGAAACATTAACTCCCTTTCACACACGCGGGGGTACGATACGAAGGGAGAGTTTGAGGCCTAGTTCTAGGCTTTAGGCCTAGCTGTAGGCTTTAGGCCGCTGTGAGTTAATTTTCCCGTAAAAAAAACATTCCTCACGACAATCCCTACCGCCCGCTCGCTCACCCGCCGGCCCGCTTCGTTGTTGTGCAGTTCCATCAGGAGGAACTTCGACAAAGACTTGCGTCGCCCTCCTTGCCTCCAGCGGTCTTTGACGCCCGCGTCCAAGAACAACTTGGCGAAATGGCGTCCGTATTTGACGTTGTCTCCGGGAAGCAACCAGGGTTGGTAGGTCCACGTGCAGTTTTGCCGGATCACCTCCGACGTGTTGCAGGCGCGCGCCACGGCGTGCACCACGCCGGCGGCGGTGAGGGCGGAGAAGAAGGCGGCCTCGCGAGAGCCTGCGCCCCCCCACCCCCCCCACCCACAAAACAATTTGATCATTTGTCTATAATGGAGGTTGTTTGTTTTTCTGGCGTAGATCGCCGAAATAGAAACGTCACCTCAACAACTCTTGGAACCTCCCAGTTCAACCAGTCTACACAACAAAGACTCATTCTTAGCAACGATTTCAGCCGCACCACCTCTACATAACAAAAGGCGCAGTCCCATTTACACGCATCTTTACATCAGCCGCACCTTAACAACTCTTGAAACCTCCCGGTTCAACCAGTCTACACAACAAAGACTCATTCCTAGCAACGATTTCAGCCGCACCACCTCTACATAACAAAAGGCTCAGTCCCATTCACAGCAGCCGCACCTTTACATCAGCCGCACCTTAACAACTCTTGGAACCTCCCAGTTCAACCATTCTACACAACAAAGACTCATTCTTGGCAACGATTTCAGCCGCACCACTTTTACATAACAAAAGGCTCAGTCCCATTTAGACGCACCTTTAAAATCATCCGCACCTTAGTTTACACAACAAAGGCTCATTCCTAACAGCGTGCTTCAGCCGCACCGAACCTCACAACAATAATATTCAGGGCCTACCCTTAGCTCCTCCCACCCTCAACCAGTATAATACACAAGGACTGTGTTCTTGGAATTTCCCTCACTTGATACAGCTGTCGTGCTGTGACGGTTCCATCTGAACCTAACCCTAATCTAGATTTGAAGCTTTCGTGACTGCAAGGATTCATATTCTTAGGTTTTTTCGGTAAAGTCACCAATGTAGGTAAAACATTAAAAGTAATAAAAGTAAAATAAAATAAAAATCACGACGTTTTGGAGGCAACACAAGTCTCCGTCACAGCCAGATTTGCTGCATCAAGTGAGGCAATCTTGAATCATTGCCTCACTTGATGCAGCAAATCTGGCTGTGACGGTTCCACCTGAAGACGGAAGCTTGTGTTGCCTCCGAAACGTCGTGATTTTTATTTTATTTTACTTTTATTAATTTTAATGTTTTACCTACACAGTGACTTTACCGAAAAAAACCTAAGAATACTAACCCTAAGCCTAACGCGCTCGTTACCCTGGTACAGCACTGACCTGTTGCCGTGTGTTGGAAAGTAAATTCTCCGCCACATTTACAACGCGGGTCTCGCGATCTTTCGCCGAGGGGACAACAACCGCCGTCACGGGCGATAGCCACGATTGTAAAGAAATTGTCCTTCGGTCTTCAAGAGGGATTGGCCACATTCTATTTAAGCGACACTCTAAACCAGCGGTCGGGAACCTATGGCTCGCGAGCCATATATGGCTCTTCCAGTGACGACATATGGCTCCCAGGCAATTTTGAGTTGAAAAAAGAAAAAAAATCAGTTTGGAACTGATTTTAAAATACTTGTGATATTTGCTTAATAATAGTGTGTCATTTTAAAGTAAACAGAAATTAGTTTTGAAGATAAATTTCACGGGCCGCGCCTGCACGAAGCTCAACCTCACCACGTATAAACCAGACTACAAGGCCATCAGCAAAACTATGCAGCACCAGACGTCGCATTAAAAGTAAGACATTTTTAATTTATCATACGTTAAAAATACTATATGGCTCTCAATGAAATATATATAGAAATATTTGGCTTTTATGGCTCTCCCAGTCAAAAAGGTTCCCGACCCCTGCTCTAAACCAAACTGAATTGGCCGTGTCGGATGGTGGCGGGTAGACACCGCAGCATTCACGTTGATGCGATCTAACACAAAACCTTGATGATGAGCAAGCACCTTGTGAGACACAAGACACGGCTTCATACCTGGGGACTGCCTGGGCCACACTTGGGCAGGGTGACCAACCCCAACTTGAAGGGGTCACCGTCGAACAGAGACGGTCACCCCGTTGGGTGCTTTCAGGACACATCACACTACGCACCGCACACTACTACACTACTGTAGTGTGTAGTACACTACGCACTGCACACTACTACGCTACTGTAGTGTGTAGTACACTACGCACCGCACACTGCCACGCTACTGTAGTGTGTAGTACACTACGTACCGCACACTGATACGCTACTGTAGTGTGTAGTACACTATGCACCGCACACTACTACGCTACTGTAGTGTGTAGTACACTACGCACCGCACACTGCCACGCTACTCTAGTGACGTAGAACGGCTCGCTACGGCGCCTGCCTAGCGCCCGTCGCTCAAACCCGCCCGTCACCGGCAGAGGCTCGAAGCCGCCTCTGACCCGGGCGACGATCTCCTTACCCGACCGAGCCAAAGGGACCAGCCCGTCCTCCGTGCACTCTGACCTGGGCGACGATCTCCTTACCTGCCCGAGCCAAAGGGACCAGCCCGTCCTCCGTGCACTCTGACCCGGGCGACGATCTCCTTACCCGCCCGAGCCAAAGGGACCAGCCCGTCCTCCGTGCACTCTCACCCGGGCGACGATCTCCTTACCTGCCCGAGCCAAAGGGACCAGCCCGTCCTCCGTGCACGGCGCCTTGCGCTTGCGCTTCGCCTGGAACTGGTGCCGGTACTCGGCGATCGCCAGCCGCGCCGTCCACCACGAGCTTCGCGAAGTGCGGCTGCTGCCGGCAGACGTGGCGCTGTGCGGGGGACAGCCCCGGGGCCACGCTGCACAGCAGCAGCGGACGCTGCGAGGGGTCCACTGCCGGGGGGACCCACATTGCCAGCGACCTGCAGAGGAGGGGTGGGAGGTGGGGGGGGTCACGGTGGCTAGGAGATGTTGACTACCTCGCCTGGTACGCAGGAGGTTGTGGGTTCGATCCAAACCCTGACGATGCCTGCTGCTGCTGCTGTATATTTGGAGTCTGTGTGTCTCTCTCTCATCATCGTCACGGTGGCTAGGGGATGTTAACTCTCTTGTCTGGTACGCAGGAAGTCGTGGGTTCTATCCAGACCCTGATACCTGCTGTATATTTGGAGTCTGTGTGTCTTTCTCTCTCATCATCACGGTGGCTAGGGGATGTTGACTACCTCGCCTGGTACACAGGAGGTCGTGGGTTCGATCTAAACCCTGACGCCTGCTGCTGTATATTTGGAGTTTGTGTGTCTCTCTCATCATCACGGTGGCTAGGAGATGTTAACTACCTCGCCTGGTACGCAGGAGGTCGTGGGTTCTATCCAAACCTGATGCCGGCTGCTGTATATTTGGAGTTTGCGCGTCTCTCTCTCTCATCATCACGGTGGCTAGGGGATGTTGACTACCTCGCCTGGTACGCAGGAGGTCGTGGGTTCGATCCCAACCCTGCCGCCTGCTGCTGCTGTATATTTGGAGTTTGCGTCTCTCTCTCATCATCGTGGTGGCTAGATACATTTTTAATGACATTTATACATTTACGCGATCTAACCCCCCCCCGCAAAAAAACTCTTGTGGATGATATTGGTCACGAAAGCCCTGCCCGCTACCAGGTGTACGGGGGGCGTGTGTGTGCAAGACGTTAGGTAAGGTTGCTCATAAATAAATAAACTCAGAAACGTGTCGCGCTCATCGCAGCAGCGGAGGAGTGACGAGGAAGACAGCGGCGTTCTCACGGCCAGCGACTCTGTGCAGAAGAGAACGAGCGGGGGTGACGATGTCAAACACCTCGCACGGTACGCAAGAGTCGTGGGTTCCATCCCGACGATGCCCGCTGCTGCTGCTGTATATTGTGAGTTGTCATGTCTCACTCATCATCGTCGTCATCATCACGGTGGCTGGGAGATGTTAACTTCCTCGCCTGGTACGAGGGATCGAACCCACGAGCGCTTGTGTACCGGGCGAGGGAGTCAACATCTCACCACCGTGGTCGTGATGAACTCCGACTGCTGATGTCTGTAGCCGACCGACCTTATAACCAGATGAATCCCTGCAGTCACGAAAGCTTTAAATAAACAATTCTCAATTTAAATTTACGCATTTTGATGTCACGTCACATTTCTCAACCCCAACCCCACCGTCACAAATGTCTGACCCCCCCCCAGGTGCGTGACGTCATTTATGGACGGCCCCAAAGACCCCGCGCCACAACCAAGAGCAGAACATGTGTGGAGATAATTCAGTGACGAAAACATGTTTTATTGTTGTCCCTGGGTAGTAAAGTGTCATTACCTAATACCCACTCCACTAACAACAGTGTGACAACAACATTGACCCTTAGTGGTAGAGTGTTATGCCTAATAGCTAGTGCCTCACAAGTAGAGAAAGGGGCTCTTAATACTCCACACAAACTTTGTATTTGTGACCCAGCACACACAAGCTGAGTGAACAATCCACTCCATTAACAACAGTGTGACAATAACATTGACCCTGAGTGGTAGAGTGTTACTGCTAGTAGCTAGTGACTCACAAGTAGAGAAAGTGGGATAAGCTCCACAAATTCTAGATTTGAAGCTTTCGTGACTATAAATTCATACTCTGAGGTTAAAATCACGTAGGTAGAAATAAATACTAAAATAAATTTGAAATAAATAAAAATTAAATAAATTCTCCCCAAAAACTTTGCTTCTGTGACCCAGGACATTGATATTTACACATTTAACAATTTTAAATAAAAAAAGACGCGGCGTGCATTTGTCTCATCCCATCACGTAAAGTCCTGCTCACAAAAGCAAAGTTTGTACGGAATAATAATAATATCCATTAAATCTAATGTGTAGGCAATTTAACAACAACACGCAGCAACACTTCACTACGCAAGGCCAGACCTCGCGTCAGCTCGTGTGTTCTCGTTGTTGTTGAACCAATAAATATAGTTTAGATATGCAAGGAGACCCATGCACTGTATAGGTAAACCCACTAAAATAAACTCCTTTAAAAAAATAGTACAAACATTTTTAAAATTTAATTTTTTGAATACAATTTTTTTAAATACATTTTTTATTATTTTTTTTACATTTTTATTGAAAGGTGGAAGTGGACGACGTTTCGACCACGAGCCTTGAGCGCGACACACACACAGAGAGGAATGAAGTTGAATAATAAAACTTGTAGTTTCGATACTTGAGCTCCACGCTCACCGCGTGTTGACAAGTTCCCGCGGCAGTGGCGCCTGCTTCGTGCGCGAGGCGATTCCAGAGTCTAGGGACCGCGGCGTTCTTGATTCTCGCAAAGCAATATTTAAATAATAAGACGTCCATTAAAAAAATGTCATTGCTTTAAAGAGACGCTCAATTGATTGATGCCGATTTTTATTGATTGCTTATTAATTAATCTTTAATGTACTTATTTTTTTTTCGAGTGATGTTCACAAACGGAGGCAGGCGCGCCTGAGACGCGCGGCGCCTGATTGGTGTGCGAGCCGATTCCACAATTTAGGGACCGCGGCGTTTTCACCTTGCACAACAATTAACACGCCAATTTTAACACAGTGTGCAAAATGTTTAATTGATTAGACACCAGGAAGTAGACTAAACATTTTATTACAAGATATTGGCCACGACACTACAAAGGAATATCACGTGAAGTGAAAGCGTTGAAAATATAAAGGGGCAGAAATTATTCCATCGAGAAACAACATTTTTATTCAAACCCTGTACACATGCGACGTTGAGCCAATTTGGTAAACAGGTGTTCACACACAGCGTGGTAAACATAGGTGTACACACACAGACACCCAAAGACCCATAGAGACCCACAGAGACACACAGAGACCCATAGAGACCCATAAAGACCCACAGAGACACACAGAGACCCACAGAGACACACAGAGACACACAGAGACCACAGAGACCCATAAAGACCCACAGAGACACACAGAGACACACAGAGACCCACAGAGACACACAGAGACACACAGAGACACACAGAGACACACAGAGACCCACAGAGACCCATAAAGACCCACAGAGACACACAGAGACCCACGAGACACAGAACCCATAGAGACCCACAGAGACACACAGAGACCCATAAAGACCCACAGAGACACACGAGACCCACAGAGACACACAGACCCATAGAGACCCACAAAGACCCACAGACACGCATAGAGACTCACAGAGACACACATACACCCATAGAGACTCACAGAGACCCACAGACACCCATAGAGACTCACAAAGACACCATACACCCATAGAGACACACAGACACACACATACACCTATAGAGACTCACAGAGACACACAGAGACACACAGAGACCCATAGAGACCCACAGAGACCCACAGAGACACACAGAGACCCATAAAGACCCACAGAGACACACAGAGACCCACAGAGACACACAGAGACCCATAGAGACCCACAGAGACACACAGAGACCCATAAGACCCACAGAGACACACAGAGACCCACAGAGACACACAGAGACCCATAGAGACCCACAGAGACACACAGAGACCCATAAAGACCCACAGAGACACACAGAGACCCACAGAGACACACAGAGACCCATAGAGACCCACAAGACCCACAGACACCCATAGAGACTCACAGAGACACACATACACCCATAGAGACTCACAGAGACCCACAGATACCCATAGAGACTCACAGAGACACACATACACCCATAGAGACACACAGACACACACAGACACCTAGAGACTCACAGAGACACACAGAGACACAGAGACCCACAGAGACACACAGAGACCCATAGAGACCCACAAAGACCCACAGACACCCATAGAGACTCACAGAGACACACATACACCCATAGAGACTCACAGAGACCCACAGACACCCATAAACTCACAGAGACACACACAGACACCCACGGAGGCACACAGACACACACCTGCTGGGTCTGTCACGTGACCTCCTCCTCATGCACCTAGCCTGGCACAGCAGTACAACCCATGGCACCT